TGCATTATCATTATCAGCTTAAATATCTGGAGTATTTTATGTGACTCTAACAAGTGAAGTCCAATCAGTAACATTCTTTAATTTATTACCTTTAGCAAATCCATAAACACTGTATTCAAAGACACCACTATACTTCTCTTCATAAGATTTGAAAACTCTTTAAGTCATCTTAGCCTTCTCTACTTAAACTGGTTCATTATCTTATTTATCTTTGTATGGTGGATAAGGTCTGAATTTAGGAACAACAATGTTAAGTAAATCTTCACTTGAATCAATATAACTGTTCTTGCCCAAAAATGCTCTTGGATCAAACAATTTACCTTAGAATGCTGAATGTCCAAATTCTTTCTTTCCAATTACAAGTCTAGCATAATCTCTTAATAACCAATGTTTAGCACTATCAATTTCAACTCTCTTAACAACATTTTGATGTGTAAGATAAACATATCCAATACCTTTTGGTCCTGATGGAATTCTCTTGTAACAGAAATAAATGAAATTCCAATATCCTTCTAATTCTTTATCAAATTTTGTTCCTGTTGTGATCTCATTCTTATCAAGAACTGCATCATAAGTACTAAATCTATACTCTCCTCTTCCAACAAATGCTGATACTGTTCTGTCTCCATTCTTTTAAGCATCTTCATATTGAGCATTGGTAGTGAATCTAAATATTGAATGAGATTCAGCTTTTTCTAATAATATGAATGGATAATTCATTAACCATCTTGTCCATAAACCAATACCATATTCATAAATGGCTTCAATATCAGAACCTGGGAAATTAGTCTCTGTGAATTCAACATCTAATGCTGGATCATCACCCTAAGCAACAATCAAAGCATCAGCATCATTTTAAACATAGAATTCAAAGTAATTATTAAGTTTATATGGAATCCAAGCTGGAAGATCTACTTCTACTTCAACCTTATCAACATAGTGCCAGCATTATGTACTACCATAGCAAGCATGAACATGTCTAGATTTACCTACGAAATTCTTATTAATTCCATCTTTTCCGAAATAAACAGCAAGGTATTTAGGAGAGAAATGCAATACTTTCTTTAATAAACCTCCTTTACTGATATCTGGGAAACCAAAGAACCAACCAGCATATTCATCTTATCTGGAATATCCAACCCAAATATACATCCAAATACCTCTATATTCTCCTAAAGCAATATTAGTATTTCTATTAAGATTGAAATCAGTATCAATAAATCCAATATCATATGTTCCAATTTCCATATCTCCACCTTTTTGAATTACTGATAATGTTCTATCTCCTAATAAATCAGCATCTTTCAAGAATGCTGGTTCATTATTGGTTAATCTAATTACTGTTTATGCTTCAGTATCATCTAAACTTCCATAATATTTGAACCATCCATATACTGAATATTATTCTGTTTCAATTGCTCCATCTTCATAAACAAAAGTATCATATGTTTCAGTATCTTTGTTATCAGCACCTTATATTTCATAATCTTTTGTTCCTAATTCTTCATCAACTGGCACCTTATATTATTCAATCCATGTTTCATATTCATCTATTTCATTGATAAATGATCCTCTACCAAATCTAACAACAGCATGTGCTATTCTTCCATTAAATCCATAAACACTAGTTTTCCATAATCCAACATAAAATCTAACATAATTATTAGCAGGATCAGCATCAAATGGATCAAAAACTGTTCTTTATACTTATTTTAATTTATTGAAATTAACATAACCAACAGCTATTTATTTCAATTTTGAATAACTGAAATAAATGTAATTCCAATATCCATCTAAATTCTTTCCATAATTAACTGGTCTTCCTGAATTAGCCCAGAATTCATAATTTCCTCTTCCAATATATACTGCAAATTCAGCTTCATCTTAATCTGTAAATCCTAATCTTCCTACTAAAATACGATCAGGTTTTTCATAAATTCTTGAAGGATTTGTGATGAAGAATTTAGTCCACATACCGAATCCATATTCATAAACACCATCTGTAACCCAATCTGGTTCTTCATGAAGTAAAGTATCATATTCAGATTCTGTTTTATGATTCATCCATTTAGGATCATATGTTTTGAGTTATACTCCTGGCCATAATTTAATCTTACCAATCTTATAATCATCAAAATCAGTAGCAACTCCCCATGCACCTTTTCCAAATCTGATAGTTGTATAAGCTGTCTTTCCATGGAAGAAATACCTCAATCCTTATCCCAAATATAAAGCCCAATATTTGGCAACAACATGCCATCCTTTGAATTGTTTTTCAACCTTGCTATCAGGCCATTCCATGTAATATTAGAAATCTCCATGATTATATCCAAAATATGCATAAGTCCATAATTATTGTGATTCTTAAGCAATAGTAACTGTTTCATCTATATCACTGAATTAATCCTTCTCCTCAACTGTATATGTAGAAAATTAATATTCATTGTTTTCAGTTTACCATAATGAAAGTACTTTGAGTCCATGAGCAACAACTCCTGAATCTGGTTCATTTGATGTAAATCTAAATATAATTTAATGTGCTTTTTCAGTTCTTCTTACATATCTAAACCAAGTGGATACTGAATATTCTCTATATCCATCCAAATCCCAATGGAATTTAGTTTCAGTTGTTAATCCATCATATTCAACTTTATCATAATATTATACTTCCTTATACTCTAGATCAGGGTCGGTTGGAACAGTGTATTTGGTTTCAATCAATGTTTTCATCTCCTCTTCTGTTTCCACAAATGAATTCTTATTCAAAACAACTCTAACATTGGTGATAATTCCATTGAATCCTTTGAATCCCTTCCAAATTCCAGATTAGAATTTAATAGTTCTAACAATAGCAGGTTAAGTAACAGTAAAAGTGACAGTCTTAATTACTTATGTTCTACCCCAGTAAATATAACCGTTAGCCTTTCCTTCTTTATAACCAAAATAAACATAAATCCATTCTGCATCTAAATATTTTCCATAATCTAATTATAATTCAGTAACAACTTCTCCTTCAAATACTTAGAAATTATAGAATCCTTCTCCAATTGTTGTTACTAATCTATTAGTATCATCTCCACTCAAACCTCCAACAGCCAAGACTTCCTTCTTTTCTGAGATCTTAACTTTACCATTATATCTGAAATATGTCCATAAACCATAACTATATTCAACTGATTTCTTGATTCTGCTATCAGGTCCATCTTCAACTTCCTTTTCCCAAGGAGATGTTTCTTATGTAACAACACTATCAGTTTTCTCATCTAAAGTATAAACAAGTTATTCTAATTCTGGTTCATCTGGAAATTCTAATCTACCAAAATCATCGTCATCCTCTTCAACAAATTCCTCAAAAATCTCTTCAACTATCTCTTCAACAATTTCTTCTACTATCTCTTCAACAATTTCTTCTACAGTTTCTTCTTATTCTTCAACTTTTTCATCATCTGGTGTTGGTTCAACAACAACTTCCTCTTCTGGTTATTCTTCAACTACAACCTCTTCCTCTTCTGGTTCAGGTTCTGGTTCAGGTTATGGTTATGGCTCTGGTTATGGTTATGGTTTTGGTTCATCCTCATCATCTTCAACAATAATAATGATTGGTTATTCTTAACATCCTGGATATCCACAACTTGGTTAATATGCACTTGGTCCTGTAGCTGCATCAATCAATGTATCAATCAAATCTTCTAAAACATCATCTCCGCAACCATCTTCCTCTTCTGATTCCCATTCAAATTCCTCTTCTTCCTCTTCTTCTTCTGCTTCTGATTCTGGTTCAGGTACTGGTTCACATTCTTTAGCTTTTTTAGCTTCTTCAGCTAATCTCTCAGCCTCCTCTGCCTTTTTTCTTGCTTCTTCAGCTGCCTCTTAAGCTTCTTTTAATCTTCTTTATGCCTCTTCAGCATCTAAACAAGCTTCTTCTTCTCTATTTTAGGCATCTTCCAAAGCTTATTATGATGCTGCTGCCTTTTCGGCTGCTTCTTAAGCTTCTCTTGCATCCCTTTCAGCTTCTGTTTCAGCTTCCTATTCTGCCTATTTAGCAGCATCTAACTCTTATTCTGCTTCAATTTCTAATTCTTCAGCTAATTCCAACTCTTTTTCAGCCTCTTATTCGAGTAATTCAGCTTCTTCTGGAGTGATATCAACTCTATTCTTCAATTCTTCCAATTCTCTAGCTTCTTCTTCTTTTCTTCTTTCTTCTTCTGCTGCTGCTTCAGCTGCTGCTTTGGCTTCTTCTTCTGCTCTTAATCTAGCTTCTTCTTGTTCTTATTCTTTTCTTCTTTCTTCTTCTTCAGCTTTAGCATCAGCTTCTAATTATGGTGCCCAATAATCTTTGCATTAAGAAGTTTTTTCATTGACTCTAGTGGCAAGATCATAGAGTTAATCAATTTCAATAGGAATAGTATTTAGTTATAATTAGATTTCTGTTATTTATTGAATCAACTCTGAGATCTTGGTAGCTATAGTTTGAGCCAATTATAATTTGTCTTCCTCACCTAAAAAATAGATATATAAATGATACTTTTTGCTTTATTAAGTACTTCCAAATATCCCAAAATATCGTTAATATCATACCAGGATGATGTAGATTCGATTTGAGAGAGTGATTTGAAATGCTTTGAGATCTAATGATGCAACTATTTGACTTGAATAAACGATCCTCCTTAAATATGTTAGACAGTTAGTAAAACTCTATCAACTAAAGCTTTGACCATAGCCAAAACCTATAAATCTCCATCAAATCCATCTTTGTGTTTGACAATGTCTATCCATTAATCAATGTCATGCTATGCTCCCAACTATTCTTTATAGCTTGGACTTTCACAAGTCCATCCAGAGGGATCAATAGATAAAATTGATTCCAAAGGTGTTATCTACGTCCTTGAAGACGTCTTGAACTGTAAAGACACGCTGACTAGCAGCCATGCCACTAGCAATTGCTTTAACATAAATATATTTATAATCCGTTTTTAATATATTGATTAGAATATATACAATCAGAATTCCTGAATCGAATTTAATTACACGATTGGAACCTAATCAAAGTACTCGGAGTAATGCTTCGCTAAACTTGATGTTGTTAGAATATTGTCTTTAGGATAAAATGAAATTATAGGCAATAGATGATAATTCTCTTCAAGAGCATTAAATATTTAAAACTCCATAAAGTTTCTATTCATTCTATTTTGTTTTAGAGTTAATTTATCATGTGGTCCAATCTTTCGAATAATCAACAATGATATTGGTAATAACAAGTCAAAGGCCTTTTAACTATTATGTTTTAATTCTCCAATGGTTTAAGGATTGATGATTGGTAAACTATTTATTGCAGCTTTACTTAAATGATGACCTTCATAATCAATTCTTATTTTGATTGACATCTATTAATTGGATTCATCCTTCTCTTAAACTAAAGTGATATGTACATAATTATGATGATTATTTTTAGATCCTGATTGTTTCTCTAAAATAAAAAAAAATAAGTTTAAGAATAATTGCTTCAATTATCTCTAATCTTGTCTTACATATGTANCTCTTAATCTAGCTTCTTCTTGTTCTTATTCTTTTCTTCTTTCTTCTTCTTCAGCTTTAGCATCAGCTTCTAATTATGGTGCCCAATAATCTTTGCATTAAGAAGTTTTTTCATTGACTCTAGTGGCAAGATCATAGAGTTAATCAATTTCAATAGGAATAGTATTTAGTTATAATTAGATTTCTGTTATTTATTGAATCAACTCTGAGATCTTGGTAGCTATAGTTTGAGCCAATTATAATTTGTCTTCCTCACCTAAAAAATAGATATATAAATGATACTTTTTGCTTTATTAAGTACTTCCAAATATCCCAAAATATCGTTAATATCATACCAGGATGATGTAGATTCGATTTGAGAGAGTGATTTGAAATGCTTTGAGATCTAATGATGCAACTATTTGACTTGAATAAACGATCCTCCTTAAATATGTTAGACAGTTAGTAAAACTCTATCAACTAAAGCTTTGACCATAGCCAAAACCTATAAATCTCCATCAAATCCATCTTTGTGTTTGACAATGTCTATCCATTAATCAATGTCATGCTATGCTCCCAACTATTCTTTATAGCTTGGACTTTCACAAGTCCATCCAGAGGGATCAATAGATAAAATTGATTCCAAAGGTGTTATCTACGTCCTTGAAGACGTCTTGAACTGTAAAGACACGCTGACTAGCAGCCATGCCACTAGCAATTGCTTTAACATAAATATATTTATAATCCGTTTTTAATATATTGATTAGAATATATACAATCAGAATTCCTGAATCGAATTTAATTACACGATTGGAACCTAATCAAAGTACTCGGAGTAATGCTTCGCTAAACTTGATGTTGTTAGAATATTGTCTTTAGGATAAAATGAAATTATAGGCAATAGATGATAATTCTCTTCAAGAGCATTAAATATTTAAAACTCCATAAAGTTTCTATTCATTCTATTTTGTTTTAGAGTTAATTTATCATGTGGTCCAATCTTTCGAATAATCAACAATGATATTGGTAATAACAAGTCAAAGGCCTTTTAACTATTATGTTTTAATTCTCCAATGGTTTAAGGATTGATGATTGGTAAACTATTTATTGCAGCTTTACTTAAATGATGACCTTCATAATCAATTCTTATTTTGATTGACATCTATTAATTGGATTCATCCTTCTCTTAAACTAAAGTGATATGTACATAATTATGATGATTATTTTTAGATCCTGATTGTTTCTCTAAAATAAAAAAAAATAAGTTTAAGAATAATTGCTTCAATTATCTCTAATCTTGTCTTACATATGTATCTGGAATTTTACAATCTATTGTGAAAAATATTCCTTTATCATCTCCAAAAAATCTTACCACATTTTAGTAAATCTACTCAATAAATTCTTTAATGTCAAATTTCTGAATTAAACAGCGTTAAAATTCTTTGTTTATACTAAAGTAATCCTGAATATTTGAAAAATCATTATAACATCTCAATAAATTGCTATTTACTTTTCTTAATAATTTATTAATGAATACAATATTTTTATTTTTCTATTTGTTATTATAAATCCATTAGAATGAAATTAAACTAGGTTTTACATATTCTCTAAACACATCTCCAATCTAATCTAATGCTTTCATTGCTATTTTATTCCTTAAATTAAGTTGATCAATGACATTATCTTTCTTATTTTCCATTAATAAAACTAAAGCACATGGTTTATCTTAATATAATTTCACTACTTTAATTGTGTAGCTTTCTTAATAAAGAAATCCTTTCAATAAATAAGAATTGTTTTGTTCAGATTAATGAATTAGATGCATAATATATTTCTTTTTATTTGTGAATTCATAAAATAAAAAATTCTCTAATGTCATGTTAGCTTAATTTTCTAACATCTCTTATGAAGTAAATTAAGTAAATCTTCTTTTTGAATCATATGATGAGACTTTAGTATTTCTTATTTTATCAATAAACTCATCCTGAATTTATTCTGTAATTTATTGCTATCTATTCTTTTACATTAATATTAGCTTATTCTTGGGTGGATTATAACTGATAATAAAACTTTCAATATCATTATAAGTTTGGATGTTATCTTCTAAAATTTTTTAAGTATTTGCTTAAATAAATATTTTTCTCCTGAAATTCTCAAAGCAATAACAATAGTGTATGTAAATACATAATTCAAATATATGCAAAACTACTTATTCCCACAATTAAATATTTGGATTTCTAAATAGTGTAATTTGAAATGTGAAAATTACTACTAGGATCAATTACTTCTTGGAATAGCTTAGTGTATTAATTAAACTATTTATTTTATACTAATTCATACGCCAAAATTGTTAAAGCTTGAAAATATCCATCCAAAGAATATGTTTAGAGTTACAATTCTTTCTTTTAAAATACTGAATTATATGGGAAGAAAAAGTTATACAAGACTAATGACATAAACAGCAATAAGTCTTTGAAATATCTATTTGATGAGGAAGCACATTTTAGGTTTAAAGCATAAAGTAAACTACATAATAATAACACTGTTAATAAAAGCCAATCCTCTCTCATTATTTTTATAGAAATCTGAAATACTACCAAAGGCAAAACAATCCATTTTTGAGTTTTTTAATAATTTTTATATATGCTTGTAATTTCCTTCTAATATTCATGTTCCATTTCTTAATCCGAAAAATTTAAACTAAAAATTTTCATAAAATTATAACAATATATTAATGAAATCACCTAAAATGAAATAAATAAACATCTTCTTTATATAGTTATATATACTCTTATATAAATTTTAAATAAAATGTAAATCGATATATTAGTATTTTGATTACTATTTTTCTACAAAAACTTATTGGTGTTAATCTAATAATATAAATTAAAATGATTTTTAAAAAAGATAATAAAATTAAATAATTTTTCATTATTTTATTGTAAAATATAAATACCAAATTTATTAATTATAATAAAGACCTATAAATTATCTTTAACATAAAAACTCTTTATATGATTTAGATATTTATTATTAATTATATGTGTAACTTTTCAATGAAACTTTACACGAAAAAAATATTTTATTATACAGGCAATTATTATTATAAATAAATCAATTTAATTTTTAATTATTCTAGAATTATTCAATCATCTAATAATATGTAATTGAATATAACATTATCAAATTGAAAATTTTTGAATTATGAATGATAAATGTTGTATAATTAACAATGAATGAAATTAAATAAACTGATGTTTAGAATAAAATATTTAACAAGCAAATTATATAAATATATATATTATTATGAAATTAATCTTATTCCTTTATTAAGTATAATAATATGTCTTTGATTAAGATTCTTATCAATATTTATTTAAGTCTATTCCATTTTATTAATTGAAATATATTATATGTACTTACTTTTAGTCTTATTTATGTTGATGTTTAAGAACCATTTACTTTTGAATACATAGAAGAATTCTATAATATAAATAATGTTAAAGGATTTTTTCCAAGTTGGAATAATTATTTTAAATATATTTGTAAAATTAGTTTTGGAATAGGAAATGCTCCTATTTATAGGGATTTATGTTTTAGAATTTTTCATGTTTTCTTATAGTAGATGATATAAAAATTATTATATTAATGTTGTTTAATAAATCACAAAGTACAGGATAATTTCGTTTACAACTGGCATCAACTACTAGTAGATCAAATTTCAATACTAAAATACTAAGTCCAAAATTCACTCAAAGTTTCAGACCTAAAGAAAACATTGAACTAATTGAAAGTAAACACATATAATATTTTTAGTAAAGAATAATTTTCCATAAAGAGACTTGTTTTTTGAGCTTTAAAGACTTTGGGAGGAAAATTAGATTCCTGAGATACATTAGAAATATTACTACTTTATTTTAACATCGAATATTGCATCTTAAGAATATTTGATGAGATAAGAAATTGAAAGTTATAAACTAAATGGAAGTATTATCAAGACTTTAAATCAATTAACAATCAGTAGAGAAATATGTTTAAAAGAGGCATTAGCTATTGAATAGAGTGAGAATATTATAGAATTTGTTTGCCTTATTTCAAATTACATATATGATCTAAGAAAAATTACCTTAAATCTCATAGAGTATTAGAGAAAATGGGTGAATAAATTATATATTTAATATGCCTATAATTACTAATGGATTTATTAAGGAGAGAACTACATTATGAAAATAAAAAACGATCATAAATTGCTTTTTTAGAGACATCCTGTATTAATGAAATTTTTTCATATTAGCGAAAGTGTGGATGATATTTTTTATTTGGGAATAATAAACTAAGCTTATGAAAGGGATTTAGAATATTTTGATTATTTAACTAAACACAAACTTGATTAAAAATACTTAAAAAGAATAAAAGAATTATAAACATATGCAACAGTTTAATTTACATGCAAATAATCAGAAAATAAAATTAAAACTTTATTGTAAACCAAAACGAATTTTCTAAGTACAAAAGAATTATAAAGTGGTTAACCTACATCTAGAAAAGGTAGTATAACTAAATTATAAATTGAATTACCTCCTCTACCAGAATATAGAAGTTAAGTAATCTATAAATCAGATGATATTTAATTTATAATTAAAGATTGGCCAATCAAAGACATCCCATAAATTTTGAGTTTTTGGCTTTCTACTAATTTTGAAGATTTTCATAAAAGTTTCTTATAACCTTCTACATATATTTAAGAAACCCTAAGTTATGGTTAAGAAGCAATAATGTTATAAATATCTGATTTAGGAATAATGTTAGCTAGTGTTGAATAGGATTGTAATATTAGAAAATGGGTTATTCATTTGATTGTTTGTAAAGAATAAATATTTGACAAAATTATACAACATTTCATTAAAATGTTAATAAATAATGGGGATTCATTTGAATAATTAGGTATAAATTTGACTTTATTGGAATGTTTTGAATATAATCTTAAAATACTCAATTTTTATTTTTCTAAAATAATAACAATTGAAAATCTTAAGGTTAATTACACTTAGTATGTAATAGATATTAAAAGAACAGAATAAGAATAATAAAGTATGTCAATTATTTATGATCCTATATGTTTTATATATGCAAGAATATTATCAAGGATTAAAAAATTAGTATTAAATAGTGATGAAGAAACAATGGAAGCATAATTTTGTGCTAATCTAGGAAAGTCTAATTTAATTATTTTTGATGAAAAAATAGAAGGAATTGCAAAATTTTTAATTGTAAAAATTAATATATAAACTATATTTATAGAAATAGAAAATATATGGATCATCATTTTAACATATATAAAATGTTAAAGATGTTATTAAAGTTTGTCCTAGATTTAAATCTCCAATTAGAACTCCAGTATATTTATAGTATTTTAATATGAATTTACAATTTATGGTATTTTCATCAGAGATACATAAATAAACACATTAACCTTATATACGTTTTTCATCAGTATATTTATCTTATTAAAAAGAGATCCAAAGCTAGTTTAGATGAAGCATCATTATTGTAATTATCTAGTAATGAAGGAAATAATTTAAGAAAATTATATTTAATATCTACAACAGATCCATTTGTTAAAATGTAAATTATGAATAATAATGAATATTAGATATGTTTTTGAATTGAAAAATGATGAAGTTACATTGAATATACCAAATGTTGTGAATGATCTATTTGAGAAATATGATTAAAAGAGTTTATCATAATACAATATATGGCTTCCTTTTTTTAGTAGTTTAGGTAATAGATAGAATTTAACAAATTCTCAATTATAATCTTATTTTACAAGTGAAACATATTTTGAAATCAATTTTCCTAGAATTGGGATGAATAGTATTAATTATAGTTTTGAAGGAGAGAAATTAATTAATTTCCCATTTATAATAGGAATAGTTTAATCAGATTTGGATTAAATTAATAAACCAATATTTTCAATGTTAGTACAACAAGAGGATATTATAAAATAATGTGAACCTATTTAAATAGCAAAAAAAATGGAGAGAGATTATGAAATATTAGTGATGTAAATAAATCCAAAAGATATTGAATTAAGAGTTAAAGAAATAGTTAGATTTTCATGTTAAATCACACATGATTCTTTTGAAAAGGATTCATAAAAATTAATTGATATTATGTATTATTAGTAAGAAGCATGTGTATTACAATTTTTTGTAGAAAATTTAGTTTAAGGCTATAGTATATTGTATGTAGATTAAAATAAGATTCAAGAAAGAATATGGATCATAGAAATAATATCATGTAAATCTGAATGTTTTTTTGATATCTTTTTAACTCAAATAGTTGATTTGGTTTTTGTATAAGATTCATCTGCTTCAGAAATACTAATAGCATAAGTTATATATTAATTTATATATATAATAGAACCATTATGCATAGAATAATGGACAGATTATGGCTAATAAATATATCTCGGAAGCTATAAAGAAAGTTGGATTTAAATGGAGAATAGTAGAGAATGATTATAAAACATAATTAAGGAGAACTATATTTACAATAAAACGATCTAATTGTTAGTAAATTATTATTTAAATCAAATAAATAGTTAACCTAAAGTAGACCACAATATTTCTATTAAATTTAATTCATATTATTCACTCTAATAATCTGAAGCTAGAAATGAAGAAACCAATACTCTAAATTATCTCAAAACTAAAACTCTATTTTAGTTTGCTGAAGATTGTTTTCATTATAATCTCCATAAACCATATGAATAAAATCAATACATTATTGATAAAGTAAAAAATAATTTAGCTTCCTTGCCCATGACTTAATTCACAGAATTTAAAAATGAATCAGAAGTATACAAACATTTTGAAAAATTAACATCTTTTCCATCTATTGATTCTAAACATACTTAAATTATGACTCAATATACTAACATTTAATTAAAATGGTTAAGATCAAGAGAAATTATAATAGAAGGTTCAAAATATATTGAAGTACCTAATGAATAGAATTTTATTTATGTTTCCACTTTTCCTAAAATGAATCGTAGAATTTACTATGTAAAATTATACAATCCAGGTTATTACTTTTTTGCAATGGAAGTAGCTTATAATTAAATTGATGCCATTCGAAATGATTATATCAGATTTACTGATAGAATTAATTAAGTAATCTAAACTCTTTATATATAGGAATTCTATAATAAATAACCATAAACCTCATCTGATCTCTTCATACCTTAATTTTAAACATGTCTAACAATAAGTGAACCAGCCCCAAATTGGTCATTTATTAATTTCTCTTTGATGTACAATCATACAATCACTTAAACTATTATTAAAGACTTAGGTAATAGAACTATACGAATGTAAATGCCTATCTTAGCAGGGATCATCTAAGAAGACATAAGTTTGAGATATGAAAAACCTATAGTAGCATTCGTTGCATCTGAATATATTGATTGATATTCATTATTATAAATTTATTTATTTCTTTTATTATCATCAATACTCCTATTTAATAATATATGTGTATGAATATCGTATAATAAAAATTATTCTTTAAATAAATAATATTAATTTAATTCTTCTCATATCTAAAAGTATTGCCTAATTATTAACAAATTAAATATTCTTACAAAAACAATTGTACTTTCAATGAATTATTATTGTTCTAATAAAAAGCTTAATCAAAAAAATCTATTCAACTTATATTGAATTCTTATAAGCATATTAAAAAATATAAAATTAATGATGAAAATTAACAAGACTTAAATTTTAAAAAATAAAGTCTAATTGCATCATACTATAAAAAGGTTGATAAAAAGAAAATTATGATGTAATCATTAATGAAATAAGAATAGGCTTTGTAATTTATTATTAATATATATATATGTATTATTAAGTAATTGATTGGGAATATATTTATAAATTTAATGATTTTTTATAGATTTTATTAGTTTTAAAAATCAACTTTGTATTTAATAATTACATCATTCATGATGTATTATTAGAAATAGTATTTCAAAATTATCTAGTTAATTAATAAATCATTCCATTTAATTTGAACTTAATTAATAAATATAAAATAATTCTTTTAAATTATTAAATTTTCCTTAATAAAAAGCAAAAAGGTTCTTCAGAATTTAATATTTATGTTAATAGATTAACTTTGATAATAATTGAATTCTTTATTTATGGTTGCTCCATTGATTCCCTATGTTTTAAGTATAATTTTAAATAACATTCATATTTGAAAGTTAATTTAATATAATAAATAGAGTGAAAGTTGTTAGTTGTTTCTATAAAAAATATGAGTAAATATATAAATAAACTCTGATAAAATATCTTAGAGTCTATGTGTATATAAATTTGATTGATGACATCTTGTATTTCTTATATTTAAATTATTGATTTATAAAATAATGATATCATCATGTCAAAGGTTCTTAAGATCAAGCAACGTAATCTATAGTTTTGCTGTAGCTAATCAAAGAAGATATGTAATAACTTAAATTTATAATTAGAGTTCTTCTTAACTCCAATATTATTAAAGTTTAAGAATTCACAAAGATAAATCTATACCTTCAATTTTAAATAATTTATTCATTAATAAGATGTTGTAATATGATTGGATAGTAGATTAAGGTCCTAAACTCATTGATTTTTTATATGCTATATGTGGAACAAAATTAACGAATTTTCTAATTAATCATACAATTGGAAAAGTGTTTACAGCTGGAGAGAACCTTGAAAGTGTTCAAAAACATTTATCTTCATCAAATTCAAGTAATAATGATATTTATTTTTTTAAGAAATTTCCTATATAATGGATTACTGTTCAGAAGCACTTGAGGGGATAAAGGATTATGAGAAATTTTATGATGAGAATAGTTTAATATTTAAATAAACGATTTTGGAGTGTGCAAAGAAACCTGAAAAGAAAAACATGATTGCAATTAAGGTTTCTAGTTTAATTGATCTTAATTTACTGAAATAAATTAATAAAGCAAGATTGAATATTTTTGATATGTTTTATAAAATTAGTTAAGGAGAATAAACAATCACAATTTAATAGGTTATTTTATATTATTATTATTTTAGGTATTCTCATATCTTAAAGAATAAGGTATTATTTTGAATGATGATGAATAAAAATAATTTATCAAAGGAGTATTAAAATTTAATTAGAATGATATAAAAATAGATGAAATATTAATAGATGAAATTACATGGAAATATAGAGTTTAACCTATATTCATGTTTGATGTAGATTTAAATAACAATCCAGTTATTAAATACTTTAATAATCTAAATTAAAAAGACATATACTTATTTGAATAATTTATTGAAAGAGTTAAATACTTCATGGATCAAGCTTTAATTAATTAAGTTTGTGTAATGGTTGATGCTGAATAAACTTATATATAATTGGCAATTGATAGTTTTAGTGAATAAATGGAAGCATATTATAACTAAAATTATACAATAGTATTTAATACATTCTAAAATTACTTAAAATAAACAAAATAGAGGACAGATTATGAAATTGAAAAAGCAGAGAAATTTAAATTAAATATTGGTATAAAAATGGTTAGAGGTGCATATATGGTAGAAGAATCTAAATTGGCTAAACAATAAAATAAAGAAAATCCAATAAATAATGGATATGATACTACTACATCTATGATAGAGAGAAACTTAGAGATATTAATATAAAATATTCATAAATCACCTACAAAAGTATTTGTAGCTAGTCATAATGAACAAACAATAGATTAAGTAAAAGAAATAATGAATAGATATTCTATTCCTAATTAAGGAGGTATATTTTATTATTAATTATTTATATAGATGTTTTATTTGCTTAATTATATGGATTATCTGATCATGTCACTTATTAATTAGCTAGTGAAGTATTAAATTATTTATATTATTTAGGGATATAAAATATATAAATATGTACCTTTTGGAAAAACTGAGATAATGATTCCTTACTTAATGAGAAGAGCTTAAGAAACGAAGAAAGTATTGTAATCAAGTTCTTTGTAAACACTTTTGTTAATTGATGAATTAAAATATAGATTATATTTTAAATGATTAAGTTAAATTTATTGTAAATAATGATTTTTTTTGGATGTATATGCAAATAATATCAGATAATATCATCATGATAATTTCTATATCTTGTTAATCTGACTGAGTTTTCTGCATAAGCAAATTAATGTGTATTGTAAGTTGCTATTATAATAATGCATTAGATTTTACTTAAAAATGGAATAAGACTTGATGCTGCAAATATTGTTCTTGCAGTAAAATTGTAAATATGTTACACTGTTTAAAAGCTTTGTAATCCAAATACAAAATTCCATGGCCATGTGACCAATTTTCTAACTTGATTTCTTTAATCCACAAAATCTAATGTTCTTTCAGACATTATTAATAAATATATATTATTTTGATATAAAAATATTATATCAATTTATAGATATTTATGAATTTTGATCCAAAACTTTGATGAGAATTAACAAATATAAGGTTAACATATAAATTTTCAATTACTATCAAATGATAATGTAACTAAAATTCAAAAAGAGAAAATTTAAGATGAAAATTAAACTACTTTTAAATATAAAATAATATTAGAGTGAAATAATCAAAATAGAAGGCTGAAGATAGAAGAAATGAATTAATATTAGTTTCCTGGGCATTATATTATTAGAAATTTATAATTCCTGAATTTCCAAAATAATTCAAGGAACAAGTCAAGAAATCTTTAACAAAATAAGATAGGTTATTAAATCTAATGATAGGATCAGATTGTAGTATTTATTAGAGTTAATGGATTAAGGGTATGTATTAATTAAAACATAGAATGGAATATGGATATAAATTACATCTTCTTAGGAGTTTCGAAAAAGGGAAAAAAGAATGTAAAGGTATCATGCAATATCTTGATAAGTCTCAAATTTGAAGTGTGAGTTTAATTGAACAAAATATATTTTAATGGTANAGTATTTGTAGCTAGTCATAATGAACAAACAATAGATTAAGTAAAAGAAATAATGAATAGATATTCTATTCCTAATTAAGGAGGTATATTTTATTATTAATTATTTATATAGATGTTTTATTTGCTTAATTATATGGATTATCTGATCATGTCACTTATTAATTAGCTAGTGAAGTATTAAATTATTTATATTATTTAGGGATATAAAATATATAAATATGTACCTTTTGGAAAAACTGAGATAATGATTCCTTACTTAATGAGAAGAGCTTAAGAAACGAAGAAAGTATTGTAATCAAGTTCTTTGTAAACACTTTTGTTAATTGATGAATTAAAATATAGATTATATTTTAAATGATTAAGTTAAATTTATTGTAAATAATGATTTTTTTTGGATGTATATGCAAATAATATCAGATAATATCATCATGATAATTTCTATATCTTGTTAATCTGACTGAGTTTTCTGCATAAGCAAATTAATGTGTATTGTAAGTTGCTATTATAATAATGCATTAGATTTTACTTAAAAATGGAATAAGACTTGATGCTGCAAATATTGTTCTTGCAGTAAAATTGTAAATATGTTACACTGTTTAAAAGCTTTGTAATCCAAATACAAAATTCCATGGCCATGTGACCAATTTTCTAACTTGATTTCTTTAATCCACAAAATCTAATGTTCTTTCAGACATTATTAATAAATATATATTATTTTGATATAAAAATATTATATCAATTTATAGATATTTATGAATTTTGATCCAAAACTTTGATGAGAATTAACAAATATAAGGTTAACATATAAATTTTCAATTACTATCAAATGATAATGTAACTAAAATTCAAAAAGAGAAAATTTAAGATGAAAATTAAACTACTTTTAAATATAAAATAATATTAGAGTGAAATAATCAAAATAGAAGGCTGAAGATAGAAGAAATGAATTAATATTAGTTTCCTGGGCATTATATTATTAGAAATTTATAATTCCTGAATTTCCAAAATAATTCAAGGAACAAGTCAAGAAATCTTTAACAAAATAAGATAGGTTATTAAATCTAATGATAGGATCAGATTGTAGTATTTATTAGAGTTAATGGATTAAGGGTATGTATTAATTAAAACATAGAATGGAATATGGATATAAATTACATCTTCTTAGGAGTTTCGAAAAAGGGAAAAAAGAATGTAAAGGTATCATGCAATATCTTGATAAGTCTCAAATTTGAAGTGTGAGTTTAATTGAACAAAATATATTTTAATGGTATATAATTAAGGAAAATGATAAGATTGAAAATTAAAAAATGGAGAATAAAGGATAGGAATATAAAAATAAATATCTCATTTAATTATTTTTTCTTTTTCTGAGATTTTTAAAAAAAATGAACTGATTTCCAAAGTTTTATTACTAAGAAATATTCATTTTAATTATACTTATTGAAATTCAATATTGTTATCATTAATAATATTTATATTAGTATTAGTAGTATGTTAGTATTATATTTTATGAAAACAAATTAAATATTTACAGATTATTTTATTGTAAAATGAATTCTTATTTCAATGTTTTCTCAAAAAATGAAATTATTATTATTAAAGAAATTAAAAAAAGATTAGAAAAATTATTCATTTTTTAATTTATAAAATGGCAATGTTCCATTACATTGCTTAATTAAATTCAGGATAAATTATATTTTGTTTTTCTAATTTATTATAGATTTAATCTATCTTGAAGTAAAGGATTTTATCATTTCATTTTAATTTATTGATCCAAATTTTTATTCCTATTACATTTTTTAATATTATCAAATAATTAATTAATGGTTTTATGAATTTTTGAATAAATTGGATTTATAAATTTCTTGTTGTGATTATTTTTTCAAAATTATGATAAAAAAATAATATTATCTTATGTTTTTACTTTTTTTAATTGGGTAAATAAGAATATAAATAATTAAAAAGTTAAATAAATTATTATATTGTTAGAGTTTTATGATATATTATAATCATTTATAATAAAATAATATTTAGATACAATAGAAATCTTTATGAATATAATTCTAAAAGAAGAATCATTTGCAATTAATACATATATTTCTTATTTCTGTTATATATAAACTTTGATTGTAACAGAAATATATTTTTAAAGATAACAGTTATCATAAAAATAAAGTTCAAAAGAATGTAGAGTTTTTTAATTATTGTATTTTTATAAGTAGATAATATCAAAGGTATATTTATTGTATTATAGAATAAGTATATATTATATAAAGTAGTATTAGAATATTCATAGAGAATATATATGTATTATTTTCATACGTCATTATGAATTATACATTTTTTTTTTTGATTTCAACAGAAAAATGAATGGAAAAAGTTGAAAATTTCTTATAGTTTATATATATATTAAATTATTATGCCAGGAAATAATTTTTGTCCATCTAAAGAGCTTTATAGCTATAATTGCACTACATTAAGTCATTAAAACTTACCCACTAATTGTGGACCATTTTCATCATGTAAACAAATATTCTAGAGTGGTGAATTTGGATGTTGCAGAATTGGATATCTTGCTGCAAATGCTGCTCAAATTATTGTTTATATAATCATCCTGCCAATAATTGGTATAGGAATTTTAGGAGCTCTAGGAGGTTAAATTAACTTAATTGTTAGGTGGAGTTGTAAAAAGACCTTTTCTAGAAGCTACACTAAATTTTGATTCAGAATCTGCAGGAAATATGACGATGTGTTTACAATTTGGAAGTCAATTGCTTAACATAATCATCATATTTTTTCAACGGTAACATTTAACAATTATATTAGTCATCCTGAGGATCCTGACAGACCAATCATAAATTTTGAGATTGCTTTAATTTATTGTTTAGCAATACCTCTTAGTTAAGCTTTAGGAACAGAATTTGCTAATTATTTACCATTAGGTTCATTACTTTGGATTTAAAATATTTTTTTTGTTGCAATATGTCCAATTTTATTTTTGTTTGCAACTAAAGAACTAACTTTATAGACTTAGAAGGAATAAGATAATGAAATATTACTTAAATCAGCCCTTGTTCCTCTTGAAGGATTAAAGGGTCAATAATAATTATAAGATTAAGAAGCCAAATTATATAAGAAATTTTATGATGATTAATGTAATAAATTCCCTTTACCAGCAATCTTAATTACTTTTGGTAACTTTGCTATAAATGAAGTAAATATTTAATATGATAAAATTAGGCAATTATTCTAACTAGAACAACACCAGGATTAACATCTCCTTATTTCAATGACCCAAAAAAATAAAATAAAGGTGAATGTGAAGCTTGGAATTTTTATATGTTACTTGTATTATTTGCAGTAAATACTGTTATAACTTTGGTTGTATATTTTATAAAAAGAAAAGAAGAATATACTAAAGATGCTGTTAAATTTTTTAATTGTGAAAGATTTTATACTCCTGGAACAAGATTTTGGAAGATATATGCAGCTGGTTGGGTAACAGGAATTGTAGCAGGATTTTTTGGAATGGCAGCAGGATTAATCATGATAACAACAATGGCTGAATTTGGATTGATATCAGCTGTAGCTGGTGGAACTGCTAATTATTGTTATTTTATAATTTGTTTTTAACTTTTTGCAACTGTATTATCCAATTAAAAAGAAGAAAATAATTTTGGTGTTGGAGATTAATTTTTTTTTTATGGATTAGGAGTATTTATATATTTATTAATTATTTTTAGATGATAAGTGTTTTAATATTCACAAATTTAGGATATTATTATTTAAAGAAATATAATATTGGTCATGCTTTATTCTATATAGATTTTGCATTGGTTTTATTAAATATTGCAGGTAATCTTGCATGGGGAATAGAAACTTCAGATAGACATAATTATGATTATTTAATGAAACCTCCTCTAAGTTGTTCTACATCATAGAAAGGTGATATTTGATTAAATATCACTAGATTTGATATATAATAAAATTATTTTAAAATTCTTATTTTTTAAAATAATCTATTTATTATTCTATCAAAATATTGTGATATTTTAAGAATATTTTACATTTACTTAATGTTTATTATTATTAATAATATAATAGATTAAACAATTAAATGATATAATAATAAAAGACTTAATTTTAATTGATTATTTTATAACATAATAAATTCAAAATATTGAGCAATCAACTCTTATTTGATTAGGATCATCTTCTTCATTTTCTTCTTATTTAGCTAAATGCTTTTCAAATTCTCCCAATTAAAATTCCTCTAATTTATAAGCATTTGCATTTTTTATTGTAATATTAGGTCCAGGTAATATCTTAAAATTAAATTACAAATATACATCGTTTATTTAGTTTTTAATATTTTAATTTAACTAAGTAGGAAATTCTATATTAAATTAAATATGTAAATCTCCATAATGAAGTTCATCTTTAAAAGTTGGTAATCCTTTTTCTTTAACTGTCATTATTGAATTTGGTTTAATAATTTAATTTGTTATCACATTAATTATTTTATCATCTAAAGTTTCTAATTCTAAACTTAATCCTGTAAGAGCTTCTTTGAGTGAGATTGTTTTTTAATAGAATAGATCTGTACCTTTTCTTATATATTGTGGATGTTGCTCAATTTACAAATATACATGAACATCTCCATTCTCATATCCTTACTAATTAAATAAAAAAAAATTTCCTTACTTTTTAATTTCCTTTGCCATATAATTTTATACAATATCCATCTGGAACTCCTTTCTCAATAGGAATTTCAATTTCTACTTCTCCATCTAATCTACCTACTCCTTTACATTATTTACATTCATTGCCTTTTAAAAATATCTTACCTTTTCTAAAGAAATAGAATAAATAATTTACCCTTTACAATCAGGACAAGGAGCTTATTATACAACATTCAATCCAGGTTAAACTTCGACAAGCATTTATACAATTTTTTATCCTCTACAAGATTGGCAATTAGTAGATTGTTTTCCACCTTAACCTTAACAACTATCACATGTTCTTTAAACGTTATTTAAAATTTTTTTATGATATGCTCCTTGATAAACATCTTTTAATGTAATTTTATGTTCTAATTTATAAGGATCACATTTTTTAAATTATTAATTCTTGACATTTAATTTTCTCAATAATCCTTATTTTCCTTATTTATCATAAATCTTTTTTTTCTCTGGATCAGATAAGACTTCATTTGCTTTTTAGATTAATTAAAATTTTTGTTAACTACCTCCAGGTCTATCTGGATGATATTTTTTAGCTAAAGTCTTATATGCCTATTTAACAGTAGCTATATCTGATTAAGGTGGAATCTCTAATAATTCATAGAGTTCTTTATTATCTACATCTTCTTACTAAGGAAATTGATCATATAAATCTTAATCCATTTCTTCATCCATGAATTAAGGAAAAGCACCAAAAGGACCAGAAAATGGAAATCCAAACATTATTTTGAAATTAAATTTATTTACAAATTTTCTATCAATTAATATAAAAAATATATATATAAATATATTTCTAAGAAATGAATTACTCTATTAGATAAAGTACATTTAAATAATATAATTGTAAATAAATAATTTATAATTCAAAATTAAGCATTTCGTAATTTTTAATCTCTAATTTAATTTTACTTATCTGAAAGTTTACTCTTTAAAAATTCATTTTCAGATTAATGAATTCTATAATTCTCTAATTCATGTCTCATATCAATTAACTAATTAAAATAATTAATTTAAATACAAACCTATTTATTTAATCGTTTTATTTCATTTTATAAAACATATATTTTGTCTTCTTAATCATCTAGATCTATAAAGTCTTGATTTTTCTCATATTACATTAATTATTATTAATAATACTTAATTTCCTATCTGGCTTATTCTAATTCTTCAAATAATTTTTAATCATTCTATGAAAATCCTTATTATAACTAAACATAAAAAATATATTATTACTTTATTTCTCAAAATATTTATTTCATTATCCTTTTATTGAAATTATGATTTCAAATTTTAATCTTCTTTTATTAATTAATTATATTCTTACTCCAACTTGGATATCTTAAATTTCAAATTACTTGATATATAATTTCTTACTTTATTTCTTAAGTGTTTGAATCTGCAATATTTTTTCTACTTCTCCATTCCAAAACTTCTTGATCTCTTAATTATAATAAACTTTTTGTTTATTCAAGTTCTGAAATTTTCTCTTTAGCAAATATATTCATTTATTATAATTTATCTGTTAATATTCCAAGAACATGTTCATTTTCTTATTTCAAATCTTAAATTTCTTTAATTTGTTATTCTTTCAATCTTTCTATTTATTAATTTAGAATTATGATTTCCTAATCTTTATTCTTCAAAGTTTCTTATAATATTTAATTCTCTGTATAAATTGCTTATAATTTGTTATTTGTATCTTATTATAGATTATTCATTTCATTTTATAATTGAATTTCTTTTTAAGTTGACTTTTGAAGATCTTAAGCTAATTTATCATATCTTTTCAATAAATCATCCAAAAAAATCTAAAGTTCAGGGACACTCAATTCAGCCTTTCTAATTGATTCTTTTTAAGGAGTCCCAGGTAAATCATTAGGAATAATGCGTATAATCTCTGTAACAGGGACTACACGTTTTGGTGAAGAAAATTGAGTTGGACTTAATTAGGTTCTTAATATTGGTGATGGCTATGAAATTAAAGAATGAAAATAGTTACAATATTAATCTAAAGTGCTTTTGGTGTTCTTTATTGAGGATTCTAATAATTCATTTTATTGAATAATTAAATTAAGTCAATCAATCAATAAGATCTTTTCTATAATTTACATGTTTTAAACTATTATGATAACAATATCATAAAAACATTGAAAAATATATACTTTATTAACTGCAATTTTTATTTTAACAGATTAATCAAAGTTATATTCAAAAAGCATGATATAAGAAAGACATTTAAGATCAAATGAAAAAGTAGATAGATAATTAGATTATTAAACCATGAAAATGATATCACCATAAGCTGATGTGAATTTCAAAAAAGAAAATTCAAATCCTTTAGATTAAAATTGCAGCGCTTATTTATTAAAGGGTTATGAAAGATAAGCTCCATATAAATCAAATCAGATTGATTAAAATCGTCAAACAGGAGAACCATTAAAAATGGCATCTAACAATAACCCATATTTAAAGCAATCTGTAAACAATAACCATGAATAAGAACAAACAAAACCATTTATTCGTGCATATTAAGAAGGAGAACAAAGAAAGCCTTTAGATTAAGTTAATTACAAATAAGAATAGCGATTATTAAATCAAAGAGAAATTACTAGTCCTTATGGTAATTTTGATAACAAAAAAAGAGATCCAATTGATACTAGAACTCCTTTTGATCCAAATACAAACATGAGTGCCTATACTCCATAATCAAGATAAGATAATTATCGTAAAGATGTCTAATAATCAGAATAAAAAAGAGAGTTTCAATTACCTGAATACAAAAGAATGTATCCTGATTAGGATCCTAGAATCCCTTAGAGATAGATGAGTGCTTTTGAAATGAAGTAGAAACCATTTGATCAAGGAGATAAAGCTAGATATGATTAGGAAAGAATTAGAACATTAGGAGGATAATAAGAATAACCTGAAAGAATGGATAGATTGATAAGAGCATCTGATTATACAAGAAAATCTGACAATAATGATTTTTTAGAATAAGATAAAAGAGTATTAGAAAGAAGAGAATTTAATTAAAGAGGTGGAGCAGATCAAGTTTATTCTGATTAAAGAAATACTGCAAAATCTTAAGAATACTCTTAGAGATAATAAATTTAACTAACAAGACCTTAAGAAGGATCTAAAACTCCAATTGAAGGAAGAATTAATGAAAAAAGAGGTTATGATGACCAAATGTAATAAGAAGGAAGATTTAATCAATCATAATTTACTAATCCTTATCTACAAGGAAGAACTTAGTAATAATAATTTTATGATATGAAACCTCCTTTAGATGATTAAAGAAGAATGCTCAATCCTTATGATGAGAGGAGAAATGTAAACCCATATGAAACTAGACCTTAAATTTAAGATTAGAGATCACCTTTTTAAAATAGACCTGATCGGGTTGAGATTGAAAGAAGATTAGAACATCCTGAATTTGAAAGAAGACCTGATGTTTAAAATAAATCTCCTTATTAAGCAAGATTTGGCCCAGAAGGAAAATCTGAAGTTGACTAAAGATTACCTCCTTAAGATCGACAATTATAAGGGTAAAATTATGAAAGATATTAATAATCAGGATATAGGTAAGGTATGGATGGAAAATATCAATATGAAGTAAGATAACCTTAATAAACCTAATTTCAAGAAATCCCTGTTAATGGTCCTCGATTATAAGAAGTGAGATAAGGAATGAATTATAGAAAATATTCAGATGGCCGATCTATTTAAGATGGATAAATGGAATTTAGAGATGGTTAAGAAGGAAAACATAGATTAATAGAAGGGAGATCTGGATTACCTGAAGGAAGACCAGAATTAAATGAGGCGAGACCAGGATTTGAAGGAAGATTTGGATTAACTGAAGGAAGACCTGGGTTCCCTGAAGGAAAACCTGGATTTGAAAGAAGACGTGAATTTGAAGGAAGACCTGGGTTCCCTGAAGGAAGATTAGGATTTGAAGGAAGACCTGGATACCCTGAAGGAAGACCTGGGTTCCCTGAAGGTAGACCTGGATTCCCTGAAGGTAGACCTGGATTCCCTGAAGGAAGACATGGGTTCCCTGAAGGTAGACCTGGATTCCCTGAAGGAAGACTTGGATTACCTGAAGGAAGACCTGGATTACCTGAAGGAAGACCTGGATTCCCTGAAGGAAGACCTGGATTCCCTGAAGGTAGACCTGGATTCCCTGAAGGAAGACTTGGATTACCTGAAGGAAGACTTGGATTACCTGAAGGAAGACCTGGATAAATGGATGGTATATAATAGTAGGTTGATGGTCGAGGGGGATTTAATAGAACATGCGGGGAAGATCGATATTAAGGAACCCCTATTCTTGATGGAAGAACTGGATTCAATGGACGCAGAGAATAGTTTGGTACTAGGCCTCCGATATAAAGTAGACCTTTTGAGGAAAGAGGAACTTTTGAATAAAGAGCTCCTATTGAGAATAGAAATCAATATTAAAGAGGATTTGATGATTAGTTTGGTGATAGGTAATTTGAATAAAAATATTCACAATAATAAGACATTATTGGCAGAAAAGATTTAGGAAGACCTGAGTATGGAAAGGTGAGGGAAGAAATTAATAGAAGAAATGCTTATGGTAGGCAAGAAATGGAGGATAATCTGTCAGAATTTGGAAAAAGAAAAGAGTTTGATGGTAGGATAAGACCAGAAACAAGTTTTGGAAAGCCTTATTAGCCAGAAGAAAGGTATTTAAGAAGGGAATATAATGATTAAGGATAGAGATTGAGTTATCATGAAGATACTTCAGTAATTGATAGATTGGGATTAGAGAGAGGAACAAATAGAAAAATAATTGGTAATTAAGCTGCAGAAAATATGTTGAGAGGAGAACAACAAATGAACAGATAATATGATAGAGAGAGAGGATTTAATAGAATAGGAATGGGAGAAAGAGTGGCTAGTTTTACAAATAGTAAAATGGGTTATTAAAGAACTGCTGTTTAAGATAGGGAGGAATATTAAGGTTATGTTAGATCAAAACAATTACTTAAGCCATCATTAGGAAATGATCAAAATGATTTTTAGAAAATGAAATCTCAAGATTAGGGATTCCAAAAATGTATAAATATAAAATTTATTTATTAGTATTAAGTCCAAAGGGCTAAATTGAAACCAAAGTTGGAATATATGATATTTAGAGAAGAGATGGTAGAATATGATAGTTTAATACTTTTATTTTATAAACAAATTTTATCATTAATCATTTAATATATGATATTCTGATCTGAATTATTTCTAGTAATAATTTGTACCTGGACAGACTAAAAGTATTTCTATAAATTCTCTCACAGTTACTTTGTAACCTTACATGATAGAGAGCATTCTGGCTTTAATGTTCAATTTGGCATAATTTCCATCATCTAATTCAATATAGCATTCAATATTATTCAAATTATATTTTTGATCTTGATCCCATGGCAAAGGAGTTTGAAATAATGGGGCCAAGATTTAATATAGTTTTGTTTATTCTGAACAATATTAAATGAAGTCTCTTTATTTAAATTCAGGATAAGTGACTAACATAGGAACAGTTAAAATAGGAGGGTTAACTTATTCTAATGATATTTTTTATGGCTAAAAGTTATTAGAAATTCAAATACTTGATATTCTGGAGGCAAAGTTATTTTGGAGGGACCCATTCTTATACCTTTCTAATTACAAATAGCATATAATTATTATAATTTCTTTTCTTCTTCATTTTTTTTTTCTTACTTTTCAATTTATTAAAGAATTAATTTCTTGAGTTCTTCAATTTCTTTTTCTTTAGATATTTCTAATGCAAGATTGCAAAATTTTAGAGCCTCACTGAAATGGAGTATTTGATACAAACATTATGCACATCTAAAATAAGGTTTGATAAATTTAGGATCATTTTCTATTGCCCATTTACAATCTTAGATTGCACATTTATAGTTTTCTAATGATATAAATTGATAGAATACTTTATTTATAAGAAATTAAAGCTCTATTACTAAATAATTTAGCCATAAGTTCTTTATCTCCACAATCTTATTCAATTGCATCAGTATAAACTTCATAAGCTTTCTTTTAGAAATATTTCTTATCTCCATCTTTTTTCATAATTTCATTTGCATTTTTGAGTAATGATGTAGCAATGTTAACAGGTGTATCATCATATTAAAGATTTTACAATGCTAATAATTCAGGATAGTTTTCAATGTCTTCTGGGATATGATCTATAAAGAGAGGATGATTTTTGAGATAAGTGAAGGCTTCTTCTGTTTCTTCTGCTGTCATTCTTTGTTTTGGAACATAATCATCTGGAATTCCATCCAGAAAATCAAATAATCCCATAGCTTACATAGATTAAAAAAATAAAAAATTAAATGAAAATGACATAATAAATCACACACAAACGAATTTTAAGGAGGTTATAACATCAATTATATGATAAAAGTTTCTTTAGACACCAAAGTCTACAAGAACAATCTTCATTTTCATCATAAAGGTTTAATAACAAATGTATTTTAATTTGTTTAATTTGTTCTAAGGTGTATGATGAATTTAAAATGTTCATAGTTGAATCAAATGTTTCAAAAGTACAATTTAAATTAGTGAATTCGCCATTGAATTTAAGTTAAAATGTCAATTCTAAAAAGGTTATATATATAATGAATACTTGAATCTTCTTTAACTTATGAAATTTAGGATAAGTCAGCATGATTAACTTCATATAAATTTTCTGTTTCTATTTCTGTTATAGTTTAATCATTTGATGGTTGCTTCATAAATTCTGTAAAATCATTTTCTATTGATTCTACTTCTGTATTATCTGCTTATTCAATTTTTTCAATTTATGGTTCTTATTTTGATTGTAATAATTTTTGTTATACTTTTTCTTTTTTTTTATGAGAGATTTACTTCTTCTATGTTTACTTTTTGATTGTTTTTTATTCTTTAACACTTTCTTAAAATTGAAATGAAGAACGAGGTTAAGGTATTTTATCGAATTACAATTTTTCATAATATGAGGAAAACAACATAAAGAGTTGGGAAATGAGAATGATCAATTAAAAGTAAATAGATATCATATTGAAAGTCTTTGGTAAAAACAAACTATTATATTATAGATGATAATAAATACTTCAAATTTTAGATGATAACGGATGTGGCAACTGCAATTGAATTTGCAAATTAAAGTTTATTAGATGTATCAATTAATGTAAGAGTGACAAAGCCAGCTAACAAATTCAAATACTAAGGTTAATTGAAATAATAATTACTTGATTTGATTAGAATATGGGAGTTAATTTTGGATGAGACATCATTTAATTTGAATCCCAAAATTCTACAGGTTGATTCTCATATATTTAGAGTAGGGAGTTTAATGTTAAGAATGAAACTGATGCTCTTAAAGCTGTAAGAGACATAAATTAATTAAACAAAAAGTATTTGAAAATCCAATTAAGAATATCTTCCTTTTATATTAATAAATATAAATAAATATGTTTACTAAAACATTCAAATAACTCACATTATAGGTTAATCTACTAAATATATATAATTATCCACATTTTCAATATTAAATTACTTTAATCACTATCACAAATTCTTTTAGTTCATATATAAAGATGGTTTAAAAATAAAAAGTTAATAATTTATACTAAAGTCAAATCTAAATATTTATCAATAAAACTAAGTATTTTATATTAAAATAAACAGCATAAATATAGATCTATTATGAATATAAGTATATAGAAAACAGATCTTCAACGATGTTTACTAGGGATATTAATATANTAAAATGTTCATAGTTGAATCAAATGTTTCAAAAGTACAATTTAAATTAGTGAATTCGCCATTGAATTTAAGTTAAAATGTCAATTCTAAAAAGGTTATATATATAATGAATACTTGAATCTTCTTTAACTTATGAAATTTAGGATAAGTCAGCATGATTAACTTCATATAAATTTTCTGTTTCTATTTCTGTTATAGTTTAATCATTTGATGGTTGCTTCATAAATTCTGTAAAATCATTTTCTATTGATTCTACTTCTGTATTATCTGCTTATTCAATTTTTTCAATTTATGGTTCTTATTTTGATTGTAATAATTTTTGTTATACTTTTTCTTTTTTTTTATGAGAGATTTACTTCTTCTATGTTTACTTTTTGATTGTTTTTTATTCTTTAACACTTTCTTAAAATTGAAATGAAGAACGAGGTTAAGGTATTTTATCGAATTACAATTTTTCATAATATGAGGAAAACAACATAAAGAGTTGGGAAATGAGAATGATCAATTAAAAGTAAATAGATATCATATTGAAAGTCTTTGGTAAAAACAAACTATTATATTATAGATGATAATAAATACTTCAAATTTTAGATGATAACGGATGTGGCAACTGCAATTGAATTTGCAAATTAAAGTTTATTAGATGTATCAATTAATGTAAGAGTGACAAAGCCAGCTAACAAATTCAAATACTAAGGTTAATTGAAATAATAATTACTTGATTTGATTAGAATATGGGAGTTAATTTTGGATGAGACATCATTTAATTTGAATCCCAAAATTCTACAGGTTGATTCTCATATATTTAGAGTAGGGAGTTTAATGTTAAGAATGAAACTGATGCTCTTAAAGCTGTAAGAGACATAAATTAATTAAACAAAAAGTATTTGAAAATCCAATTAAGAATATCTTCCTTTTATATTAATAAATATAAATAAATATGTTTACTAAAACATTCAAATAACTCACATTATAGGTTAATCTACTAAATATATATAATTATCCACATTTTCAATATTAAATTACTTTAATCACTATCACAAATTCTTTTAGTTCATATATAAAGATGGTTTAAAAATAAAAAGTTAATAATTTATACTAAAGTCAAATCTAAATATTTATCAATAAAACTAAGTATTTTATATTAAAATAAACAGCATAAATATAGATCTATTATGAATATAAGTATATAGAAAACAGATCTTCAACGATGTTTACTAGGGATATTAATATACTTCAGAATTTGAATTGAAAATTTTATTACCTGATTAATATTGAGTATAAAAGAATTTTGAAAGTACATTATGATTATTCTAAACACTTTCAGCATCTATCATTAAATAATTCTTGGATTCAACTTATAGTTTTTTAAGTATGGACTTTATATCAATAAAGAATACATAATTAGGTATTTCCAATAATTGAATATTCTAATGTAAAACATATCATCAAGTATTAACACAATAATATTTATTAATCCTCTTGCTATAGAACCTTATATGATAATTATTCTTTCTCTATTCATTCTTAAATAGAATTCATTAATAATTAATTTCATATTTCTATCTCTTTATAAGTACTTCATCTTTCTTGTAAATATTTTATTTTAACATTTACTAATAAATTTATCTTGGTTTCAGTTTTAGTAATTGATATTGTTGATATTCCTATTATTAAATAAGGGTTTTAGATAGATAAGAATCTATTAATGGTAGTTTATTTTGAAATTGTATTTTGAACTTCTCAATTAGTTCTCAAATCATAATCTATAGAGATTCAATCTTTTGATTATTTAGTTTAACTACTATTATTATTTGACTCATTAATGCATATATATTAATAGAGATTTATGCAATTTTCCTATGAAATGAAATATGAATTTTGATGATCCTGATTTGTACTCTTCATCAAAATAATAAGAATTAATTATTAAATTGTTGTACTTCTTTTGAATCATTAAAGCATTATGTTTCAGAATCACTCATTAAATAGAGATCTTGTGCAAATGATTCTATTATAATCAATGTAAATTTCATAAAGAAAATAATTAAATATGTGGCAAATTGTATATTAAATGTACTTTAGATCATCTTAATCTTCTGGCTTCTCTTTCACATTCCATAAGTTCCAATGTGTCACCTTTTCTGACTGGTCCCATTACATTTCTAATCAATGTTCTTTATTAGCCAACCAATTAAACCTTAACTTATGTAATACCACCTCTAGAACCTGCATTCAATATTTATAAATTCTACCTGTTCTTCCAATTATTTCGATGACTGTGGCTCTTGTACCTTCTACTCTTTCCTTTGTTGAATCCATAATATAGGTTATCTAATTTTTAATTAAATGATTTAATTAATTTCCTTATTTCATACAAATATATACAAACTAGTATCAAAACTAATTAATTCTTCATACTCTTATAATCTTATATATCTACATTTCTTCAATAAGCAACTATAAAAGTACTTTAATTCTATTGAATCTTTCAATAACTATTTATTTACTTTCTTACTTTTTTTTATTATTGTCAAAGGTGAAATCTAATAATATTCAATTTCTATGAATTTATTTTTTGATTATTTATATGTCTGAGAGATCATTATCACCTTCTGATTATTATGAATTAAAACATGTTAAATCCATAACTTATAAGCATACATCAAACGTAAAGAAAGGAAGAACCATCCTATACCAAAGTACTGACAAATTTGAGAATGATTTAAATAAATGCAATTTAAGTTGCGATTGTTCAGAATGTGGATAATTAGTTGGATTTTCATTAAAATTACATAGAGAATTACCTTTAAAAGAAACAAGGTATTTAATCATATATTAGTATAGAAATTAAAAGAAAAAAAAAACATTGAGAAGATTCAAAGCTGTGGGAAATGCCATTATTTTTATATTGACATACAAAATGGAAGCTATTAAAAGACTAAAAAAGAAAATGCATCTACTAAGAGCAGTTCGAAACTTAACTGTGAGAAGACCTGCTGTTGTATAATCAGTACATTTATTACCAGTTTAATAACCAATAAAGCAGCCATAAAGGTTATTATACATTATATTAAGTAGTCGTGATGAAGAATTCGAAGAAACAGTATCTATTCATCCATTTTAACCTACTTAAAAGGGACCTAGAAAAAGTAAGATTTCTATTTATATGGAAAAAATGTTAAAAGATGTATTACCAAAAAAGGAGATTGGATTAAAACCTTTAAGTATTTTAAACGATGCACTTAGCAAAAATAAAAAGAAGAGACACATAAAATGCAATTCTCAACTATCTTTAACTCAGTTTAATTGTTAATCTTAAATTAAGCCTTTTGGTGAATTGAATAAAACATAAGCAACTAATTTTTATTAAAGTAATAATAAAGATATATTAAAATTGATCGACATTATGAAAGTTAAACACAGAGTCATTCGAGTAAAGAAATGATAATTATTTTTTTTCTGTTATTTATTCACTTAAATAAATGTAAATATTAGAAAATGAATGAGTAAATTAAAAAATTCATTGAATTTACTTGAGAATCTTATAATTGCTGACATAATATGAATAAATAGTAGAGATTTTGTAGCTTTTAAATTTTATTAAAATTTATTTGTACTTATTTATTATAATAAAATGTCTTAAATTCATAACGATTTATGTATTAAAGGGATTGATGAATTAAGATAAGTGTTTAAAATAGCTCAACCTTAAACTAGATAACAAAGTCAACCTAAGTAAAATTAAGGGGAAATTTAAGTGGAAAGAGTTATTGAAACATCATAACCAATTCATCATAGTCATTGTCATCCAATATGTATTTAATAGCCTTAATCTTTTCCAATTACCTATTAACCATATATAATCATTTAAGAACAACCTATGGCAGAAAAGAAATCAAGGAAAAAGAAGAAAAAATCTATTAGTGAAATTTAGGAACAATTTCATGCAGAACAAATCGTTAAGAAAAATCATAAAAGAGTTGAATAGCCAAATATTAATTTTGAAAAAGAATTGAATCATTTGGAATAATTAATTAGGCAGGTTAAAGTTTAAGGATTACCTTCACAAGTCTTAGAATATAATATTAGTATTCCTGAAGTAGAAAAACCTAATGAAAATTCTGATATGATAACTATGCTCACAGCTCTTAAACCTTAACCAATTTAATTACCTAAAGATGATTATGCAAAAATTGATAATGCTCGTTTACATGAAGAAGCCAAATAAACTAAAATATAATTTCATGAGCTTTAAGTTAAATATGATGAATTACTTAAAAGGAAGAGAAAGGAAAAGATAGTTAAAGAAATTGAATATAAAGAAACTCCTTAAATAGTTGAAGTACCAAGAGATGTGATAAAAGAAGTTATTAAACCAATTGAAGTTGTTAAGGAAGTGATAAAAGAAATACAAAAGCCTTCTGAAATCAATTTTAAAGAAATTCCAATTTACATACCACAATATAAGGAAGTTAATGTAAATAAGGAGGTTCCAGTCTATAAGGAAGTACCAGTAGAAAAATCAATAAATGTTTACAAGGACATTCCAGTCTATAAGGATGTTCCAGTATATCATGATGTTCCTGTTTTTAGAGATGTTACTATTTATTAAAAGGTTCCTATTTATAAGGAAGTACCATTGTATTCAGAGCCAGTTGATGTTTATAGAGAGATTGATGTATAAAGGGAAGTTTAAAGGATTCCTGAAAGGTTTGTTGGAGTACAACATTTAGATAAAACGAGAAAAAGAGTAATTTCACCGAGATAATATGATAGATCTTATATTCGGTCGCCATTTGAGAGAAGGGAATTTTGAATTATGATTAAAGTATTAATTTTGATCAGATTAATGTTATTAAATCTATAATATCATCTATATTCATTTCATTGGTTAAATAAATAAACTTAAATTGTGAACTATTGAAAGGTTATTATAAGTCTTCACTAATGATTTGGTAATATTTATAATTTTAAATTAATTATGAATAAATTGGTTTAATAGATGGGTGTTTTTCATTTAATTGTTAACATAGAATGCGTATCAAATTACAGAATTCTAAGGAAGTAATAATTTCTTATAAATCGAGTACAAAAAACTAATTTTAATATTTTAATTACTTTTAAGATTTAACTCACAATAATATTATTTGTAACTGTATCTATTGCTCCTTCTATTACTCTTATCTTTTTGTTTTCATATACTTATAAAAATGTACAAAATGTTTTATAAGGAATATTTTCTGAAGAAGAGACAATATCAAAACTTAATAATATTCTATCTCCTATGATAGGTTTTTGAAGATAAGGATAGTTTTATTTGAGTAAAGCAACAGTTTGTCCTTTATTATGATACAATTGTTTTTAAAAGTTTTTTTATTTGAAATCAAATTTAAAAAAGGAGATCTTTTCAGGTAATTATGTAATAGAGTTCTATTCTTAAGTTGTATATTAGGAAGATGATTTTACAACTTTATTAATTGATTAATCAATAACATACTTTTAATATGCAAATTAAGGTAGTTTATCATTTTTTAAACATAATTTGTCTTATGAAACTTATTACCTTGTCCATCTATTTAAAATATATTATTAAGATGCACATTTAGTTTTATCATATTTAACACCTTCTTTTAGAGTCTCTTCTATTTCATTTACTTTATGTTATAATTCTTCATTTTAATTATCCTCCAATTCTAATTATAATTTTGCAACATAAATAGTTTCTAAACAACTTGCAGGTCCTTAAACTTTTCTTGATTTAATTAAATGATCACTAGTATAAGTAGATCTTTTAATTTAAATGCTAATTAATATATATCTGAACAATATTACTTATCAGGATTAAATTTATCTATTAAAGATTACTTATCCCATCTACCAGTTTTTTATCCAAGTCGACATGCTTATTCTAAAAACTCTTAAACAGTTGCATTTCCAGGTGGTTTTTCATATTTATAATTTTTATAGGGTAGACTACACAAATTGTAAAAATTAGGAGAATGAACTTATTTGATTTCTTCAATAGGTTTTTCTTTTTCATGTCTTGAAGTCATCTAAAATAATTGAGTAATTTTTTGATGTGAAGATTTTGGAGTCTTGGCAGGTTCAGATCTTAGATGTTGAGATCTGCTAGTAGGAAACTTTTATCTAGTTTTTAAGATTTTTCTAAAATGAGAATAGGACTATTTAGGCTTTAATTTTATGAAGGATTATTACTGAATTTTAGTCTCTTGAAGATTAAACTGTGCTGGATGTTCTCAACTATTAGATCATTTAAGAAATTTAATTAAATAAATATGAGATAAAAACATTTAGTGAACGAGTTGATCAATATACGAGATGAAATGAAACACATAAATGTATTTGCTTATTGATAATCAAGAATAGAATAAAAACAACTAGTTCTATAAAGAATCATGAATTCATTTCTCATCAAAATACAAATTACAAAATTAGAAAATATTGTCATCAATTAATATAGATTAAACCTCCTCAATTTTTTAAATATTTTATTTCTGAATACTTTTTATTAGACTTATTAGAAAAATCTGATTATGAGAAAATACTTAAAATTACTTTGAAGTTTATCGTTAAACATTTTTAGGATTAAGAATTATATTAAAAATATGATAATTAATATCAATCAAATGAAAAAAATGCTGAAAAAATTAATAAGATTATAAAAGAAGTTGTTTCACCAATTAAAAGTAAAATTGAATCTTAAACACAATTTTATGATCAACAATTAAAAATTAATCATAGATCATGTCAAACATAACCTTGTTATTCAGAATCTTAATAAGTAATCTAATTTAATTTAGGACTTCGTTAACAATCATCTATAATATCCTCTATTCAATAAGATAATTTAAATTCTCCCAAATTTAATGAAAATACTATTAATGCTATTGATGAAATTTCATTCGAAAAATCTTGTATTAAAAAAGGAAGTGAAAATCAAATTGGAAATCATACTAAATAAAATTAATTAGAAAATAATGAAAAAAAACATCCTTATAGTGTAAGTTTATTATCAACACCTAAATAAAATGAATCTGATAATAAAAAATAAGGAATTTTTAATAATAATAATATTACAGTTAGAGAAACTAAAAGAAAAGAAAAACATAAAACATCATTAGAATTTTTAACATATGATAAATAAGAAGAAATTAATAAAATTAAAAAGTAATTACCATCTACTATGTTGTCTCTTGATTTCATTAAATAAAGAAAGAAAATTCCAGAATCAAAGAAAGGTTCAAATATATTATCTAATTATTGATAGATTAAAATATTCCTAAGATTATCTATATTATTTAACTAAATTATATATATATATATATATTTCAATTGTTGATTCTAAATAAGTTTTCATAAGCCTTAATAATTAAGTAATTTTTATAAGCTGAAAATAATCTTTATCCTATAGTAAATTCTTTTTAACATCTTAACAATTAAAATATATGAGGAATATTCTCTTATACTGATTTAATAGACATTTTTATTAAGAAATCAATTTACTTCTTACAATCCTCCAAATAAAAATAAAATCTGTTATTTTTATATAAAATAGTCACTATCACATTCATCATCAATCTACATTAATATATGAATTTATATTTTGAATGACTATATTAAATATAAAATTATACTTATTTATATATGTTTCTAAATTGATACTCTTTTTATTTGTTCTAAGAGCTGTTATACTTTTCAATTCTAATTTTTAAAATTCTATCAATTTCTTTTTTTATTTTATTTAATTTGTTATATAATCACTACTTTATTTCAGTATTTTTAATGCAGTATTATAAGAAACTTGATTAAACTAGATAATTATATTAAAATTTATTACCTTTGAATAATTATAAATACATTGACGAAATTAACATTTTAAATTAATTGTTTTAGTTGAAGATGAATTTAATTATTTATATGAAAAGTAAATACTTGTACTTTGTGATTCTTTCAATGTTACAGAACTATACTTTTCAAACATTGAGCCATATTCTACTTGTTATTATTCAAAAAATATTTCAGCTTGATAATCATCATCAATAAAAACTCTTCTTGTTACTCTACATTATAAAATTATAAATCTAACCCTAATTGTCTCAATATTCCTCTATAAGAATCCATTTACAAAATATATTTATTATAATTGGTCATGATTATATTGCAATCATCAATCATTTATTCCCAAAACTATATTAATATTATGAAACTATTATTACATAACATAAAATATATTTATAAATTAGATTAGTAGATATAACTGCATCTTCTAAAATCTTCTATAATTTTCCACTGTCATATAGATTATCAAATTTTGTTACAGATGGCTTTATGCTGAATCTCTCTTTAAAGTCTAAATAATTTATTAATATTAATAATAGTCTTACATTAAATTTCATGTGAAACTCTTTGAGGATTCTTTTATTTACTAAAATGCAATTTTGATGGAATTTTTTTACATTCTGATTGCAATAAATTTTTGGTTTATAATTTTAATGAAGTCTACTCTTATTTTTATTAAGTTGTATTTTATTAAAGTTTTTCATATTAATCTTTATACTTTTATAAACTGATGGAAGAAACAGCAGATCTTTCACTAAATCTGGATTTTATTGAAAATTATTCATCCACATTAATGCATTCTTTTTCTTTCATATAAGCAACAAATGAATTGTATCTTTATGGAATTTAATTAAAACATTAATCAAAATTATCTAATATATTACCAGGTATTATTTTTTCTAATTTTGATTAATGTAAATTATTGAAATCATATTACGACAAAACACTTCTAAATAATTTACATAATTTTGGAATATAAATCTATATTAGAATTTCATTATTAAAAGTATTATAAAATAAAGAGAAAATTAGAAAGTGTGAATTAAACTTTTTAACTTTTTAAAATATAAGTTTAATTACTTATTTCTATTTAATAAATAGATTAGCTGTATAATCTGCTTTCAGATTTTCATTTAATTAACTAACATAATTAAATTCAGAATTTACTGATAAATGAACTTGTTATTGATTTCGATTATAACAAAGACTCAATTTATTCTTTAATAACAATGCCTTTTCCTCCAAATTTTGATATTATATACCAAAGTTCTTCAAATCATTATGATTAAGATATGTTTTATATGAAGATAGTCTTTTTTCAAAAGGATATATTTATATCTCCAATATGATTAAATTTTAAGCCATTGCATATTCAGTAAAATATATTAGATTAATACCTGTAAAATTATCTAATTTTGATACTAACTAAAATTTAGTTACTTTACAATAAGTTCTTAATAAATTTTTTATATAACTTTATTCATTTGCTACAAGATGTTTTAGTAAAACAATATAAACATCTGTAATTAAACATGATTTTAATTCATAATTGAATATTTATTATTAAGAATTCTAAAACCCTATTTACCAACATCTACCATTTGCCTTATAATCTTTTAAAAGATAATAATTTAAAACTCTTTATATTTATTGAAAACTTCCAATAGTTGGTCTACTTTATTAATGGATTATTTTTCTAAATAGATCTTGTAATTTAGTTAAACTAGATTAATTTAATATTCTAATAAATCTAGGTTATGAAATTTTATAAATAAAAAGTTCAAAAATATCATTTCTTTAATAAATTGATTATTTAATTCTAAATAATACTCTGAATTAATTTGGAGGTTTATAAAAAAATATATAAAAATGATCTTTATTAATTTAATTAGAATCTGTAACTAAAGATTTTCTTTATAATCTCTTTGTGATTCTATATTCTGGAAAATTGTAATCATTATTAGAATATTTAGAATTATTCTTATTCTAAATTTCTTAATGATGCAATTATTAAAGAAATGTTAGTTTTGTTATATAAGGTAATGATCTAAAATATCCTAGATGATTTTTTATTATTATTTCATTAAAATTAATTAATTAGCAAAATTATATAAGAGATAAAATAGTTGATACATTTTCAGATTGACCAACCTTATGTGATGTAATAATAAAATGACCAAATTGTTAAGGGTTTTCAAAATTAAATGTAAAAGTTAAATTATTGATTGTCCATCCATCTTCATTTTTAAATAAATAACTTAATAAATTTTACCTAATAGTAATAAATAATTATCATACTAACTTTGATAAGGATTCATGGGTATATCCTTTTTCTATATTATATCTCTCTATTTTGGATAATTCTTGAAATAGTCATCAATAAGTTTTTTCTTTGATTTTGAATTTTTAAGTACTTTATAACTCATAGTTGAAGAAAATGCATTATTTTTTTTTCTAGTTGGTGGTGTAATTGGAGTTTTAGGAGATATTATAACTGATTCACCTGATTTTGGGGTTAAGTCTTCCTCTTCAATAACTTTATCTTAAAATCCTACTTTAAATGATTAAGATCTTAGATCAGCCCAATAATTTTTAGGTGAAGCTCCTTTTAATTTTAAAACAGGTGAATGTAATTCAATTGCTATAGATAATGATTTCATTAATTTTTAATTTCTAACTTTAGAATTTTTAAGACTTATATATCCATTTCCAATTTAAAATGGTGTAAATGCTTTTTTTATGATTTTCCTTCTTTCTTCTATTTATTGATATAGAGCTACCTAATTTTCTAATATTTATTCTGATAATGTTACTCTTCTAAATTTGGATCCATTTTCTGTTTTCATATTCAAAAAATTACTAATAAATAATTAATTGATATGATTTGAAATACTTTGACATCCTTTTTTTAACATATCTTATCTTAAAATAGTTTATTTTGTTAAAATACACTATGTAGTTGGTCTAATTGATTAATTATAATGAATTCCATGTGATGAAAAATAAACATGAATTAATTATGAAACCATTTCAATACTTGAAAATATATTCTCAAAATCTTTAGCAATATTATGAATATTTTTAAGATGTAATCTAATATCATATAATTTATTAAACACTTCTATTTATATAGTTAACACAAATATAGCATTAGTTCCATCTATACTATTACTCCAAATTTCTATAATTTGATGATATTTAGGATATTCTTTAAATAATTTAATTATATCAGGATGAATTTATGATTTCTTTGCTTTCAATCTTTTAAATACAATCCATGAAATATTTCTTATCTTCCAATTTATTGCATTAATTTATTTGATTGGTGAAAATATCATCCAAGTTTTAAGTGATCCTTAATCAATTACTTAACATATATGAAGTATTGATTTTATTTTAGCTATTTTTTCTTCAATTTGAATATTTTTGGTAGCTCCTAATTCAAATATAAGATTTGAAAAATTTTATTTAGCAACACTCTTTTTCATTAATTCTTCTTTTTTTTAAGCTTTTTATTTTTAAACAAAATTTCTAAAATTCTTTATTATCATTCTTAATGCTTCTTCTTATTAAATATCATATAAACAATCAATTCTATTACGTAAATATTCAAAATCAATTTAATGTCTACTTCTTTCATTACTTGTATTAAGACTATAATAAGATTGACCTACTCTAGGTGAAAAATTAAATTCAAATTCTTTTTATCCTTTATTTTAATCATAAATAGATATTGAATCATCTTCACTAATTTCACATTAAATAGATTTTGAATCAAAAATTTTTAAATTTAAAGATTCTTTTATTTCTATTTTCTATTTTGAATTACTTTTTACTAAATTGACTTAATGCATTTTTACTTAACTTTTTTTAAGAATATTACCTCTATTTAATTGTTATTGAGATGAATTTGATTATTATTGATGATGATGTTTAGTTGGAGTAGGCTATGTTTTTATTATTTTTTTAGAATGTTTCTATCTACCAGTTAATGGTCGTGGTAATAATAATTCTGTCATAGTACCTGAAATCTAATTGTCAATTAATGAATCAACTTTTAAAGATCCTTTTAATTCACTATTATTTGTATTTAAACGAAATTAAATATTTGATTTAGTATTGAAATTAGAATTTTATAATGGAACAAATAAATTGATTTTTTTGTCTGAAATTCTGAATGAAGATTCATTGAATTTTTGTATAACTTTTTTAGAAGGTTCAAAAGTTGATTCCTATGTTGTTAATTTTTCTATTTCACTTAAATGAATTGTTTTTCCTTTTGTTTTATTAGTTACTTTTTTATTTTTATGATTGTAATATTGAAATTCCAGACCTTATTTAAAAATATCAAAATTCGGAATAGATTATAACTGTTAGAATTTAATTTTTCTTTATCTTTCATTATGTTCTGATTGATAAAATTAAGTAATTTTGTGATCAGGTCCAAAATATTCATTTGCTAAATTGAATGCCTATTCAATATGTTCAATCTTGTTTGATTATTTATAAAGCATATAATAGGTTTTAGCTTTTATTTGATTAATTTTTTGATCTTTCGAGTCTATTAATAATAAATCTTCTGCATTAAGAGATTATTTCAAATGATATTAAGCTTCTGCCAAAAAAAAAAACAATGAGCTTCTTGTAAATTAGTCAATCTTCTATTTTATAATATTAGGCAACTTTTCAAATTATTGTATTTGATCCTATATTAAGTCTATAATAGATTGCCATTCTTTATCTTTTCTATATTGTAAACAAAGTGGCAACGATTCTTAGAAAATTTGAGTGTACTTTGTTATATAATCTTTGGATGTGAGACTTTTCATTAAACAATATATAATATTTAATCAATTTAAAAGTTTAAGATTTCTCAACGCTTTTCTTAAACAAGGATAAGTATCATCTAAATAGATTTAATATATGGAAAATACCCTATTTAAGTCATTGTTGACATTTATATTTTGACAAATTTTAGTTTATGCAATATTAATTAAAAAGCTGATATGTTCAATCATTGTTGTTAATATAATTCATATGCTAGTTTGAACTCTTCCAAAAATTAGACTAACTCATAAATTCTATCTTAAATTTTCTGTAAATATTTACAAAAAATAAGTTAAAGACATGTAACTACTACTCCCAAATTTGGTTGAATCTTAAATTTAGATATTAAATATTAATATTATTTGCAACTTAATACTAATCAATGTCATCTTCAAATAAGGTAGAATATTTTTATTTCTTCTTTAAGAGTATGTATGATGTAAAACAAATAAGCCTTATTTACATTTGTTGATTTTTTTCAATGCTTCCCTTTTATAAAGCTAAATCATTTTTTACATAGTTGAGCAGATACTAAATAAGGAATTAATAAGAATGCAAAAGAGAATTCAATTTTTAGTTTATATAAATTATAAGAGTTTAAACATAAGAATCAATGTTTTTTGATAACTAAACAGTTGTTGATAATTCGGAATAACTCATAGATAGATTTTTGGCAATTAGATTTGATTGTTTATGATAAGTAATCTTATTAATATTTCTGAAAATTCCTAATACTATGTTATTATATATTAGTTTATATCTTTGTTGATATAAGGTATCTATGAAAATACTTTTATATGAAATTATTTTGATTAGATTACTATGCTTAGTACTAATATTATTAATAAAATTCTATAGTACTAATTATGTTTGAAGATATTCTATATATTTTTTTGTATAATTTATATTTAAAGTATATTCAATATTAATTTAACTAGTCTTTCATTTTATTTAATATTTAACATATTTAGTTTAATCATTAGTACATTATGATTTCATTGAAATTAGTAATATTTTACCTTGGAATAATAATGAAAGAATATCCAAATAATCTTTTATTAATATAACTAATATTTTTAATCCTCTTCTATTAGAGTCCTTTGAATCAAATATTTATAATTATCAACATTTTGTTAGTCTTTAATTATAAGTAAATTATAATAATACATATTCTATTAAGCTGAGATATTTAACAATCCTCTTTTCAATGAAAAATTAGATAGTCTTATTTTAATGAGACTGTTGATAATAATTAGGATATTGGAATCATTTATAGATATGTAATTGAAATCACTATAAAATTATTTAAAATAATTTATGATCAATACTCTACTCAAATAAGCCAGTTAAAAGTAAATGGAATATTTAAATTAGTTTGTAAAAAATAACAAAGTAAATGTTACCATTTCTGAAATTATTGGTTGAAACACATGCAGATATCATGCTTGTTTAGAATATGGATAATTAACATGGATAGAATATGCAATTGATAAATAAATTGATAAATAGAAGTGAGATTTTTATTGTAGAAATCAGGAAAATGTTATTAGAATTCGACAAACAGAAAAAATTAAATTTTGATATATAAAAAAAAATAATCGAATCAAATTTTTAGGAATTTGAATTAGAATAAGAGACTTCAATGATTTAAATATGGAGAAAATAAACATGGTTTATAGATGTTTAAAATGCATTAGATGATATATACAATGATAAAAATATCAGTAAAATAGATAAATTAATTGATGATGCAGAGACATTTTGATTTATTATTTATTTCTATATAAAATGTCACATAATAATCAATAACCTGGAATATACTATCTGGTTACATGTTTTTAAGATGAATCAGAAGGTGGAGCTTCAAACTTGTATTGTTATACGTATGTGTTGTTCATTATTATTAATAGGAACATCTTAGAAATAGTTTGGGCTTGGATTATATTGATTTCAGGTTCAATCGTATTATTCAAAAGATATTAAAAACATAAAGATATTACACGATACAATCGTAAATAGATTATTGTTTCAATAATGGTTATTAATATTTGTGGTATGATATTATATTAATATTTAGCATACTTAGCATATTAATGGTCTTATGAAAGTGCCTTATTATATTTTCCAGAGTATTACTTCTAATACATCTTTTTTTGTTATACTATTTATTATTTCGGAAGAAAATCAATAATTCTTGGAATGTTAAATATGAGAATGGATGTTTCATATTAAGATATTGATCCAATTATTTAACTAAAATTATCGAAATTATTTTGCATTGGATTATGTTCATTTTTTACAATAATATTCATAATGAATTACATTTAATACTTCTTTGTTGTTAGTAGTGTTGGTGATTATGATTTATGTTCTGGTAGATAAACTTAATTTATTTTAGCCAGCTTTTTTAATATAGTAACTACAGTAGGATTCTTTATGCAAGGTCTTTTCATATTATAAGTAAAATAATTGTCCAGATAAGTGTCAAAAAATTTAAGTGCATAAAAATTAGATAATCCAATGATGAAATTGAAGGAATAGATTCAAAAGAATTAATCTTCTTTATGGATATTAGTGATCTTTTGTTTTTTTGGTTCATTTGCTAATTTCATGTAGAATGTCTATTTTGTCTCAATGATAGCTAATTATAAAAATAAAGATGGTTAATTCACTTGTTGGTATGTTAATGTAAAACATTATTTATTGAAAAGTTAAATAGCACAATTTGGACTAATGGTATAAATGCACTAATAGGAACAACAATAAAATTTTTTGATTTCTTTTTACCATATTTTTTAACCGTAAAGATCTTTTGGTACAATTCAAAATAAAGTGAATAATAATAATTTGTAATATTTAACTTATTAATATATATTAGGAGATAACTAATTCTGATTAAAATGAAGTAGAAGTTTATGAATTGTAATTACCTAATAATTAATCATAATAAACATCATCATAACACACTTAAGAAGAATAATGATTAAATATTATTATTTCTTTTAATTTTATAAAATATATATAATTTATCAGATCTCAATCAGAAATTTAATAATTTCGAGTATAAAATGTTTTCATAATGTATTTATCAAAAAATATTAAAATGAATAAGTATTTGTAATGTGATAGTAAATTTTGGTCAATAACTATTGACAATGAAAATGACACAAAGTTATAAATTAGATATGGAAATTTATGTGATTATGAAGAATTGAATGTAAAAAAAGTTGAAAAGTAATTCCCATCAAAAGAAGAATGTTAAAAATATTATGAAGAAGCATTTTAAATTAAACAAAATAAAGGATATATAGAAGTATAACCAGGTTAATAAATCTAATAATAATAATAATAATAATAATAATAATAGTAATAATAAACAAAAACAAAAAAAAAGGATTCACCTGTCTAAATAAAGTAATAATAAAAATAAAACAATAATATTAAAAGAACTGGATCAATAAAACCAGATACTATAGCTGCAATAACTGATGATGCTTTAAGAGGAAGATAATAAGCAATTAAAGGACCGGCTGTTGATTTAGGAAAAGGTACAATACCTTTAGGAAAAGTAATGTTAGCATAAACATGGAATGAAGATATTGATCCAAAAGGATATTATTTAAGTGAGAAATTAGATGGAATGAGAATGATTTGGACAGGTTCTAAGATGTATTCAAGAAATGGTAATCCAATACAATTTCCTGATTTTTTTGTATAAGGATGGCCTAAATCATATTTAGATGGAGAATTATGGTTAGAGAGAGATTAATTTTCGAAATTAGTTTCAATAACCAAAAGATAAGTTCCAGTTGAAGATGATTGGAGAAAAGTTAAATATATGGTTTTTGATGCTCCAGGATTAAAATTACCATTCAAAGATAGATATTTAAGATTTAAGTAGGCATGTGAATAAGGAAATGAATTTATAGTTTATGTGCCTCATATTGAATGCAAAGGTTATGATCATTTAATAGATGAATTGGAAGCTGTTTAAGATAAAGAAGGAGAAGGATTAATGTTAAGAGATCCTGAAAGTAGTTATGAATAAAGAAGATCAGATAAATTATTGAAAGTTAAAACATTTATGGATGATGAGGCTACAGTATTAGCTCATGAAGAAGGATCAGGTAGATGTTAAGGAATGCTTGGATCTCTAAAAGTTAGAAATACTAGTGGAATAATATTTAATATAGGATCAGGACTTACAGATGATATAAGATAAAAGCCACCAAAGATTGGTTCTACAATTACTTATAAATATTATGGAGTATCTAAAAGTAATGTACCTAGATTTCCAATATATTTGAGAGAGAGACCAAAAGAATGATTGAATTTTATTTGTTTTTTAAATTACTAAATTAATATAATGAATTAGGAATGTGTAGAATGCCAAAAGAAAGATCAAAAAATTAAAGAATTGAAATAAAAGATTGCAGAGTTAGAAGAATAGATCGAAACCTTTGGACCTGAGTTTTCATAAGTTAAAGGACTTGATGAAAATTCACAAAAGCTTTTAAAGGAAAACATACAAAAGGCCATAGGAGATTTAATTGGTTAAGATCCTAATAAACTTAAGTAAACTAGAAATGCATACTCTTAGAACAAATTAATAAAAAGCTCCTTTTTAAAGAACTTAAACAAGCAATTTGACTGAATTTTTAAGATAACCTAACATTGATGAATAACACACTTATCTTGGATAAAGATTTTTTGAACATTTTCTAATTATTGGACCTGATCTAGAAGAATTATAATAAGTTAATAAACATACAAATGAAATCATAGTCAAACCTAAAATTCTATATTAATTTCCTAATGTTAATGAACATCTATAGTAATCAATTTTAAGTATTTTAGTGATGTTGTTCCAATTTATACATTCCCTAATGGTATCTTAGCAAAAAAGTTAGAAACATCTGTTCATAATTTTAATGATAAAGTATTACCAGAATTAAAGCAAATTATTATGCAAACTCTTTAATTAACTAAAGGAGATAATGAA